CACAGAGGGGGGGAGGGCCACGGAGACCCCGGTAATGAGGACAGCCTGGGCTCATGCAACCCAACAGCCCGACGGGCCGTGCCTATTTCTGGCTGAACCGATCTGAAGAAGGATAAGAGGGGGCCGGCGGCTCTGGCTTTGGGAGGGGCCAGCCTTGGGCCTGTGGGTACGTGTGCCTTGTCCTCTGCAGACAGGCTGGGAGGAAGTGACCGTCCCGGGCCTTCGGGGCCCTGGCCGCCATGGCCCCTGAGGACAGCCTGGCGGTGGAAAACTGGAGCCTGTGAAAAAATGAGAGTGGGAAATGGGAGTCGAGGAGCCAAGGGCAGCGGCGGATCTGCTAGCAGGCTGTTTTTGCTTTTGTCTCTGGAGGAGGAAGAGGATGCAGAGCGGACAGGGGACTCACAGGCTGGCTTCCTGCGTGGCCTGGCCAGGGCGGGTCGTGCTAGATAATGGCTGATAGCGGTGGAAACGTGGAAACGGGGAGACAAGATAAAGGGGAGGCCGGCCACAGAGCACAGACCCGCGGAGCCAGGGAGGAGCGGCCGAAGGGCCGAGGGAGACAGGGGAGACAGCGAGGAAGCAGGTCTCCCTGCTGTGACACTGACCACACTGACATTGGTCCCGGTGGCTGGGGGGCGGGCACAGTGTGCGGACTGCAGCTTCCGCCAACAATCCCAGAGCAGCCTGCAGGGCTTGCTCCCAGGGCTTCCTCCAGCTCTGGTGAGCACTGCGGTTCTGTGGGAGGTGGCTCCAGTTCTGCACAGGCTGTTCCTCCTGATGCCTGGGGTTCCCCGTCTATGCAGGGTTGAGGACTCCTGCTCCTGCACCGAGAGGCCTCAGGGAGGAGATGGCGCCGGCGGGGACAGCTCCGCTGGGAGCCTCCAGTGCCTGACCCGGCAAACTGGCTTCCTTTTTGAACCTCAGCTTCCTGCGCTGCTTGTTCTTGGCCATCTCCAGCGTCTCTGGACTCCTGGCGCACGGTGCAGGAGGCTGACATGTAGGAAGGGCAGCGCTCTCTCTTGTCAGTCCAGGTGGCTGCCCTGGCTGGACCCCAACCTTGTCCCTTCTCCTCTACAAAACCTGCCCCTGCCACCCAGAGCTCAGGCATTCCCCTCAGAATCGCTGGGTTTTGCACAGCACCCCAGCTTTCTTTCTCATTCACCCTCTCGCCCTCCGTTCCGGAACACCTCCATGTGCTAGGCGGGAGACTACAGTGAGGACAAGAGTGACAGTTCCTCCCCCATGGGGCCACCAATCTGGTGGAGAGGACAAGAAATGAACAAATAGGGGGCAGCATTGTGACCTAATGGGTAAAGTCACTGCCTGCAGTGCTGGCATCCCAAATGGGCACAGCTGCTCCACTTCTGATACAGCTCCCTGCTAATGCTCCTGCGAAGGCAGCAAAAGGCGGCCCATGGGAAATGAACAAATAATCATTACAAAGCATGGCATGTGCTTTCAAGGATTCTGCAAAAGATGAAAGTTGGGGTGGGGGTGCTGGTGCCCAGGTGAGCGGCCAAGGAAGAAGCCGGATCATTTGCTGGCACCTGGCCACTGACCTCCTGGGCCAGGCAGTATGTCACACACACCCAGGGAGAAGGGAGGGGAAGGTGACATCCAAGGACTGAGGCAGAGGGAGAAAGGGGACAACTCCACTGAGAGGAACGGGGCATTGTATGCTAACACAGTATTTGTGAAGCCGAGGGAGTGGAGGGGGCTCTGATAACTCTCTAAACAAAAGAGCTTGTCCTGGGCACGGGGAAGCCTCTTCAGTGCCTGCAGGAGCCAGCTCTAACCACCTGGAAATCAGTCATGGGGTGACAGCTGAGCCCAGGAGCACCCCGGAAATACTGCCCTCAAGAAAAGGAACCAACAAATCTCACCTCCTACCACAAAAATAGTGGCCACTATGGAAAAACTGTCCTGGGTCTCTGCATCCCCTTCGTCCCCTCACTGGGCCTTCCTCCTCGGTATTTATGGTCAGCACCTGGCACTCTCAGAAAAGAGCAAGGGAATTACTCATTCACACTAAAGTGACCCCGACCTTTGGTGTCTGCCCACCTGGAAATACTTGTGCTTTAAAATAAAACAGATGAGGGGCCGGTGTGTGGTGTAGCAGGTAAATCTTCCACCTGCATCGCTGGCATCCCATATGGGTGCTGGTTCGAGTCCCGGCTGCTCTACTTCCAAGCCAGCTCCCTGTTAATGGCCTGGGAAAAGCACAGCAGATGGCCCAAGTGCTTGGGACCCCTGCCATACACTGGGAGACCTGGATGATGTTCCTGGCTCCTGGCTTCCTCCTGGCCCAGTGCTCACCGATGTGGCTAACTGGGGAGTGAAGCAGCAAAAAGATGTCTCTGTCTCTCTCAAGTGTGACTTTCAAAGTGAATAAATAAATCTTTTTTGAAAAATAAGACAGGTGAAAGGCTCACGGGTGGAATTGCAACCTTTTCAGGAGGAAAGATAGGAGGCTACTGAGGCTAGTCCCTCAGGGTCAGAGAATTGACTTTGCTTTCCCAGTTGCCCCCTGAAAACTGCTGTGTGCTCCTGTCCAGAGGCACAGTATTCTGCCCAGCCCCCCACGGCTCCCCCCACCCCGTCCTCTGGAACTTCCAGAAGAGTCGTGATAGGAAGGAGCAAGTGGACCTCATGCCGTCTGGATGAGGGCGTGCACATGCACCCCCTCGTGTACTCCCAGCCACTTCCTGGTCCTGCTCTCTGGGCCAGGACCCCAAACACTGCAGTGGGAGACCCTGATGAATGCAGACCACACGGTAAACACAGTGACAAAACAGACAGACCCAGCCCTGCTTTTCTAAGCCACTTTTCATCCCAGGAATGTGTGTTTAAGAGGCAAAGTCAAGTGCTTTATCTGCTGTCACTTGATGTCATGGAAAAAAGCCCTGCATTTGCACTCAAAAATCCAAGGTTTAACTTCTAGCTCTCTGCAGCCCACTTAGCGCCCTTAACCATAGCACAGGCGGGAAGACTTTGCACTGATGAGTCTCACATGAGAAGAAATCCCCCAGGTAGTCTCCTGATCCAGGGGCTGTGCTGGGTGCTCCCCCAGGGGCCAGCTTCAGTGGCCATGCTAGGCGGCTTCCCTGTGAGCTGGGGCGAGCGGGCTGGAGGTTTGCTGTCCAACAGTGCCTCCCCGTTCTCTGTGCCATCAGGCAGGACAGCTTGTAGAGTATGCGTGCGCATTAAGTGAGATTCAGCCAGGAGGCTGCCTGGCACAGGTAAAATCCCCCCTTACAACGCCCAGCTTACATGGGCTTGCGTTTGCAGCCCGAGGGGCTCACTTTCCAGCAGGCTGGCCCAGCCCACAGGCACTCCTCTTCTCTGCCCCAGCTTTCCAAGCAGGGCTCAACAGCCACTTCCCTGCCCCACCCCCCACCCCCCTACCCCCATTCCCCACACCAGACTTTGCACCAAAGCCCCCAGGTGGCTTTAGTAGCAAGTGTCAGGCACCAAGCTAAGAACCCTCATTGTTTCATTCCAACCCCTGAGAAACCACCTTACCGTGTCTAACAGATGAAGATGCCGAGTCGGCAAAGGCTAAGCAATGGACAAGCATGTGGCACAGAGCTCAAGACACCGATGAGGGTGCCCGCATCCTACACCAGAGTGCCTGGGTTCGAGTCCCAGCTCCATTCCAGCTTCCTGTTCATGTGCATCCCAGGAGGTAGCCAATGATGTCCCTGCCACCTCGTGGAAGACCTGGATGGGAGTTCCTGGCTCCTGGCTTCAGCCCAGCCCAGACTCAGCTGTTGCGGATATTTGGGGAAAGAACCAGCACATGGAAGATCCTCTCCCTCTTCCTCTTCCTCTTCCTCCCCCTCCCCTCCCCTTCCCTCTCCAGTCTTCTTTTAATTAAGTAAAACTTTCAAATAAACTAAAAAAAGCAATTTGCTGGAACAGAGTGCATGGCAGGGTTTTGCAACAACACACCCGTCCACACACATTTGCATACTTGCTTCTCCCTGTGCTTGCAGCTCCCTCACAGAGCAGCCCTGGGCAACCAGGTGAGATCCCTGACCACATTTCTAGAACTTTCCTTAGGATGTGGCACAATGGGGAGGTGGGGGAGGTTAGAAAAGATGAAGATGGAGGAGGGATGCCAACAGGTCAGAATTTCCCATCCTCTCAGGTTGGGCCTTGGTGGGGGGCTGCCTGTGTGCCTCTGCTGGGGTTAGGCTCTAGGGGCTGGGGCAGATGGGAGAAGGGAGAGCTCCTAGGGCCAGCCAGGGCTCACAGGCTACCCAGGGATGGGGTAGGGATGAGGAGTGGACAACAGGTCTAAAACCAAACAGAGCCAAGCCGCTGGGACAAAAGTGTCCCCGTGGTCCCCTACCCTGCTGGGGATTTCAGTTGTGAGGGAGGCAGTGGCTCCGGTCCCGTGCACCCGCCCAGGGCCGAGAGAAAGGCCAGGAATGGTGGCCCAGGACCCACCCCACTGTGCCGCCCTGTGAGGCCAGGCTGGAAGGCCGCAAGGGGGGAATTCTCATGAGAATTCTGATAAATGGGCTCCTCCACCCCTCCCCCTCCCCCAATTAAAGCGACGGAGATGCAGAAACCACTTCCAAGCCAGGCATGACATCAACATTGCAGTGATAAGGGGTGGACAATGGGGTGTTAGACTCACAGCAAAACACGACTGGATAAGGCCGGCTCCTGATACCCAGGCTGATGGGAAATACCATTGTCTGTCCGCCGTCAGCTGAGTCCCCGGCGACAGGGATTCCAGGCGGGGGAGGGGCGCTCCACAGGCCCCCGGGCACCGGCGGAGGGCCGAGGAGGGCGGGGCAGGGACCGGGGCTGCGCGCCCCGGGGCCGGGGCGGAGCGGGGTAGGGGCAGGGGCGGGGGCCAGGCCCCGGGGAGCCGGTTCTGGGCACCGAGCGAGGCCACGCGCTCGGTGGGACCCCGTGCCACGTCCGCGGGCTAACGTGTTTCCCTTCACGGGCGCCAGCAGCCCTGGCCTGGAACCTGCCGCCGCTCGCAGGCCTGGGTCAGATCCCGCAGCAGGAAGACCACGCCACGGTTAGGCAGGGCTGAGGGGCGGCCCGCGGCTCCTCCGCGTGCTGTGTGTCCCGTGCTGGCTTCACTTGTGGGCTCATTGGTTTTTCAGAGAAATTTGCGTTAGTTTTATCACAGTAACACGTACACATAGTTTTCGTATTTCAAGTCCATTCTTTCGAATATTAAAGCAATAACAACAACAAAAAATAAAAAAATGCGTTTCCTGGCCAGTGCCTCCTGATTTCCTGTCTACGTCTGCTCCTGTGCTGCTCCAGGATTCACTTCCATGCCCATCTTCTGATGCGTCCACCTAGGTGTGCCTAGAAACGAGAAGCGGGCACCATTACACAGCCCTCCCCTTCTCCTTAACCCCGCCATTCTTCCAATGTACTTACAGCATTTAACTAAAACAGCAAACAACGACTTATCTGCGAGCAAAATTATCATTCTGAACTCCCTGGAATACCGTGTTTTGGTGGAAACGCCTGCTTCTGTACTGTCCTGGGAAGGGGTACGTTTTTTGCTTGTAAGGTCCTGAGTTCTAGGCTGGATATCAGTTTTTCTCGGCATTTTAGAAGGATTGCTCTCTCGTCTTATAGTCTGACACAGCCCATTCCTGAGCCTTTGTAGGACACCTGCCTTGCGTTTTTGCTGGGAACTCTAAGGAATCTTTTCTGCTCCTGTTGGAAAGTTCAGTGTCTGCATCACCTATCACGTGTCTTTTTCATTCATTGTCCTAGATTCTCAGAAGGTTCTGGTCATCTGGAGATTCATAACCTTTAATTCTAGGACAAATTCATTTTTCCTAACTTATTTGTACCCTTCCCAATCTCTTCTCTGTTTCCTTTCTACAACTTCGAGTAACTGAATATTAGACACCCTAGATCGATACTCTAAATGTCTCATCTTTTATTTCCTTTCTACATCTTTATCTTTTACTTTAAGAATGTTTATGGGGCTGGTGCTGTGGCGCTGCAGGTTAATCCTCCACATGCAGGCCAGCATCCCATATGGGCACTGGTTCAAGTCCTGGCTGCTCCATTTGCAATCCAGCTCTCTGCTATGGCCCGGGACTGTCATATCCCTCACACTTTCATGCGTGAGCCCTCTTGAACTCATATGTGCCTGTCTCAGTTTATAGCACGGCATCTCTTGAAATGATTTCTGTGAACTCTGACCCGGCTGTGAACAGTTTGCTTTTGGCCATGTCTCCAACCATCTCTGTTTAGCAATGCTTCTTATATAATTCTTTGTATTGTATTAGCACATTATCCTTGGCTATGATATCTGTCTAAGTGCCAAGCAAAATGAAAGTGCTATTGCTAGTGATCAGAAGGACCAGGGCTCAGGAACTTAATTCAGTTGATACAAGAAGCCACAAGAGTGGCCAGTCTTCAACTTGAAGTTGAAACGTGTTGAATGAACTTGACTGGTCATGTTCAATTGTGAAAGAAAATAGCACAATCAGAGAATATGTACAAAGTGCTAAAAGTATATCACTGAATGCTAGGTTTAGGGGCCGGCGCCATGGCTCACTTGGTTAATCCTCTGCCTGCGGCACCAGCATCCCAGATGGGCACTGGGTTCTAGTCCCGGTTGCTCCTCTTCCAGTCTAGCTCTCTGCTGTGGCCCGGGGAAGGCAGTGGAGGATGGCCCAAGTGCTTGGGCCCCTGCACCCACGTGGGAGACCAGGAAGAGACACCTGGCTCCTGGCTTCGGATCAGCGCAGCTCCGGCTGTTGCGGCCATTTGGAGAGTGAACCAACGGAAGGAAGATCTTTCTCTGTCTCTCTCTCACTCACTGTCTATAATTCTACCTGTCAAATAATAATAATAATAAAAGTAAGTTGGGATGAGAGAGTTCCTACTATCTTTTAGTTCTCAGGGGATGGAATCCTTTTATAACAGAGAAGCCTATTGTCTGGTTCTGCACCCTGAAACTGTCGTTAGTTCGGGTTCTTACCTTGACTAATTTGGGAGGAACAAGTGGGTAAGACAACATGATTGCCAGTCTCCTCCGTGCCTAGAGTCAATGCCAACATTAGCTTCCTGCCCACATCAGTCACTGAGCCCACAGCAGCCACGAGAAAGCAGCCACCAGTATGGGAAGCGCCTGTGACTCCCCAAGGCTTCTGTGTGAGGCTCCAGCCACTCCTCTTGCTTCCCAGACCCTCCACTTCCCTCCAGGAATGGCTCTCTGCGCCGAGGGAGGGGCTTCCCTTGCCGAGGTCGCTGCCTGTCTGCACCCCCGTCTGCCTGTGCCAGGCCCTGTGGCCCCTTGTCCTCTGTGTCTGCCACAGAAGCAGGCTGCGGCCTGCCTTCTTCCTACCGTGCCCGCCCCCTGCTCCCTCCTTCCCCTACGCGTTCCCTTCCTCAACTTCCTGAAGCTCCTGAGAAGGCAGAGGGCACACCCGCCTCTGGTGAAGTTGGTGAAATGCCAGCCAGATCCTCTGCTGCTCAAGTTACTCAAGCCAGGGGCCTCACATCTGTTCTCCTGCCACAGTTCCACTCCCAAACAGCCGCTGCCCTGCTCCCGGTCACCACTACCTCTCACTGGAGCCCCCAGCTGGCCTTGCAGCGCCATGTTCTGCTCTCTGGTCCATGCCCCCACACTCTTGCCTCAGCGATCTTCCCAGAATGCTGCTTGGATCACAAATCCTGAATAAAACTCTTCAGGGGCTCCTTGCTGTCAAAGTCCAGACTCCCTGACAAACGTTCACACCCCACCTCCTGCTCCGGGCTTACTTCCTGCTCCTTCCTGCCCACACAGCCCATGCAGAAGCCGTACGAGATATGTGAATCTCAAAACTTCTGCTGCAGTGACCCCGGCCTGGACACCCAGCGTCACATTCACCTTGTCACTTACTGCCTGCCCCAGGCAGAATCGACCCCTCCTCCTCTGCTTTTTTTTTTTTTTTTTTTTTTTTTTTTGACAGGCAGAGTGGACAGTGAGAAAGAGAGACAGAAAGAAAGGTCTTCTTTTGCCGTTGGTTCACCCTCCAATGGCTGCTGCGGCCAGCGCACCACGCTGATCCGAAGCCAGGAGCCAGGTGCTTTTCCTGGTCTCCCATGGGGTGCAGGGCCCAAGCACTTGGGCCATCCTCCACTGCACTCCCTGGCCACAGCAGAGAGCTGGCCTGGAAGAGGGGCAACCGGGACAGAATCCAGTGCCCCGACTGGGACTAGAACCCGGTGTGCCAGCGCCGCCAGGCGGAGGATTAGCCTAGTGAGCCATGGCGCCGGCCTCCTCCTCTGCTTCTACAACACTGCAAAGATCTATTCTGTCTCTCTCCTTCTTGGAATCTTCTCGGGATAACACTGCCTTCCATCTCTCCCTCTTCAGGGCCTAGCCTAGCCTTGGCACATAGTTGGCATTTAATAAGTATTTGTTGAATGCATTTAATTAGATTGAAATTATGTTGCACCTGATCACATATGGTTTACTATCAAAATAGTGGTGAGGGGATTGTTTACATAGAACCCAAGATCTGCTTCTAAATACCAAGACAAAAAGTTTGCTTTTAAAATAATCTATCAGGGTGCCAGTGCTGTGGTACAGAGGGTTAAAGCCCTGGCCTGAAGCGCCAGCATCCCATATGGGTGCTGGTTCTGGTCCTGGCTGCTCCTCTTCCAATCCAGCTCTCTGTTATGGCCTGGGATAGCAGTGGAGGATGGCCCAAGTCCTTGGGCCCCTGCACCTGCGTGGGAAACCCAGAAGTAGCTCCTGGCTGTGGATCGGCACAGCTCTGGCCGTTGCGGCCATCTGGGGAGTGAACCAGCAGATGGAAGACCTCTCTCTCTGTGTCTCTACCTCCCTCTGTAACTCTTTCAAATAAAATAAAAATAAATATTTAAAAATAATAATAATCTATCAGTAGCAAGGCTCAGTGGCTGCTGAATCAACGTATGTTCACCAAACATTTGCAGAAATGAGGGCGCTCTGCCACCCAAGCAGAGGGCACCCTCTTTGGCATCTGCTAACCCACATTCCAGACACCTCAATCCTTCTCAGTCAGAACAGGAGACAAAACTCTTGACATGGGAATGAATGGGAATCTCTGTTTCTTCTCTGCTTAATCCAGAAGTTCTCAGTACTAGCAGTAGCTCAATTTGCTAAATGTCTTCTGTGTGTGATGCTGCATCTGATAATGACCACATACTGGTTATAGTCACTCTTCATTTCTTACAAGAAGTAGATGAAGACATGGTTCCTACATCCAAGTGTTACCACGTATGTGAGTTCAAATTCCACTTCTTCAGTGAAGCCTCACAAGCCCCCTAGCTAGGTTAGGCATCCCTAATATCTGCTCCACATTCCTGTGAATTCCTCCCCCATAATTATTCCTTAGTACCCATCTTCTCTCCTAGATGCGCACTGTGGGATGGCCTGGCCAATGTTGTCGTTTTCACTGTGATAACCTTGGCAGGTGGCATGGAACCTCAGAGGTGAGAGGTGTGGATTGAAGGTGGGAGAGCAGATGAGATTCCTGGCATCCCTCCCCACCTCAGCCACGTCTTGCTTGGTTCTCTGCCCCACTGGCCTGACAGCTTACAAATGCTGAGGCTGTGTTTCCCCGCCCCACGAGCCCTCTTGTTCCCTCCATCTCTGCCTCGGCTTCCCCTGCCAAGGGGGCGCACTTGTTTCTGTGCTCCAGGTAGGTGTCGGGCTAACTGAGAACGCCAAGCTTAGGAAGCATTTCTTGGCTTTCCTCAAATGTCTTCGTGTTGAATTAACCTCTGAGACTGCAGCAGGCCAACACGCCACACCAAACTGTACTTCCTGCTCCCCTGCGGTCTGCCGGAGTCCCACTAGCGGCAAATGCCATTCAAAACAGGCGCTCTCGCTGCTGAGTCCGCTCTTCCAGTAGTCAAGACCATCAGCTGGGGGGAAAAGCAGCCCAATTCAAACCAACCCACGTGGCAAGAGAGGGAGGTTACTGACCCCACAGCTGGGCACTCTGGGTCATCATGACTGTGGGCAAGACAGCATCACCGAGTGTTTGCTACTCTCCCCATACCCAGCCTTTATTTGCCTCATATGCCTGTGATTCTCACCAAAGGCTCTCAGATACAAGGAATATGAATGGGGGAGCCTCTGCACCCACGTCTTCACGGCTCATGATCCCAAAGAAAAGCTCTTCCACAGCTCATGTGTCAAATCTTGTAGAAGGATTCCGATTGGGTCTGCTCAGGTCACGCTCATATCTGAGCCAGTCGCTAGGGGGTGGCAGCGGGGAGGGGTGATAAACCCCTGGAATTGGACCAGACAGGGTCACACGCCATCCCTGAGGCCTCTGTGTGATGTTCCACCAGAACTACATGAGATGGAAGTGGCTGCCCCCTTCAAACTTCCTGGCCCCTATAGTCACCCGCACAGAAGACATCCCATGAACGCCTTCTCAGAAAAGAGCAGGCTACTAGACTTGGTGGGGAAACAAAAATGAGTCAAACTCATCCTGGCCAGCAGAGACTTTTGAGTCCTTAGAGATTTAGTTATGAATTGAAATAGCTGTAGTCGAACCCAGCTGGGCCCCAAAGCACAAGGTGTTGTCGGGAACGAAGAGATCCGAGGGATCACCCAGGGAGTTATTGCAGAGGAGGAATCCAGTGAGCCTGCTGGTCGGCTGGATGGTCAGCTAACTGATGCATGGACAGGACTTTCTGACGTTCTTTCAGGCATCTGTGAGGCTATTTCCTTTTAGAGTCAGTCTCCCGTCCTTCCATTCACACCCAGCCCGTGTCAGCCCGATTCGTCCCTCTGTAGTGAACCAGGCTGGCCTGGCTACCTACTTCCTGTCATCAATGCCACAGACATCTCTACTACGGATCCCTGAGCACCACGGGGAACTGCTTGGATGTGGACCAGACTTTGTTTTCAGAGCCTCCCCTACCACATGCTTCAGCTGTCACCCCGGGCCACCGTCTTCTTTATTTTTTTTTTTTCTTTTTAGGGTTTATTTATTTACTTATCTATTTGAAACATAGAGCAATAGAGAGAGGGAATGATTGGGAGAGGGAGTTGAAGCTAGAAACCAGGAACTCCATCGTGGTCTCCCACGTGAGTGGCAAGCACTTGGGCCACCTTCCACTGCCTTCTGGTTGGATTGGCAATGGAGCAGCTGGGACTCCAAAATAGAATGCTGGCATGACAAGTGGCAGACCAACCCGCTGCACCGCAACCCTGGTCCCTCGCCCCTGGCCTTTTAACTGGCCCTCTGTCTGTGGACAAGGACAGTTTCTCCAAAAGCAGCCAACCTGCTGCAGGCTCAGGGTGCTAGGACTGCCCGCCCTTCTCAGCCCACCCCATCTCCAGCCTAGGGTTCTATCTCCGAGGTTGTACTCTCTACAAAGGAGGGAAGCGGTGTCACTGGGTACCTAGGGACCACACTGCAGGCAGGGACGAGGCTGCTTACCCTCGGTGCTAATCCCCACTTCTGCCGCACGTGTGTTTTACATTTCTGCTTGCTCCAGAAAACACGTGTTGTTTTTCTCCCCCACAATGGCTAGAATGTGGGAAAACCTCTGGGACAATAGTGTTCTCTAAGTGAAGCACACAGAAGGCTTAACTACTTTCCTGTCTTACTGGCTCTCTGAGTGACTGAGCGCTCTCTCTTAAACTAAAGTTAAATTCATTTAACATATAGTCATTTTACAGTGTACGTTCACTGACACTTAGCACATTTGCAACATTGCGCAACTACAGCTATTACCATTATCAAGCTCCAGAACATTTCCATTGCCCTAAAAGAAAACCCTGCACCCATTAAGCAGCCACTTTTCATTCCCCCCTCATCAAAGCACCCAGCAACCACTATCAGCAGATTTACCTATTCTGGACATTTCATGTCGGTGGACTCCTATCACGGATGATCTTTGTCACTGGTTTCTTTAATTTAGCATCGTCTTTTCAAAGTTCACCCATGTTACAGCATGTGTCAGTGCTTTATTTCTTTATATGCATGGATTACGTTTATGTATCACATTTTGTTCATTCATCTGTTGATTGTATGAGTTGGTTCTACCTTTAACCTATTGGTAGCAGAGGGTTGAGTGTTTTCAATTATTATTTCTGGCATACCAAGTTGTCTCAAAGAGTTTGTGGAAAATGGAATTTAAAAATAGGTTTGGCTGGTGCCGTAGCTCAATAGGCTAATCCTCCGCCTGTGGCGCCAGCACACCGGGTCCTAGTCCCGGTCAGGGCACCGGATTCTGTCCCGGTTGCCCCTCTTCCAGGCCAGCTCTCTGCTGTGGCCCGGGAGTGCAGTGGAGGATGGCCCAAGTGCTTGGGCCCTGCACCCCATGGGAGACCAGGATAAGTACCTGGCTCCTGCCTTCGGATCAGCGTGGTGCACCCGCCACAGCACACCAGCCACAGCGGCCATTGGGGAGTGAACCAACGGAATAGGAAGACCTTTCTCTCTGTCTCTCTTTCTCTCACTGTCCACTCTGCCTGTCCAAAAAAAATTAAATTAAAAATAGGTTTATTTTGCTGCAAGAAATTTTGAAATCTATGCATAGTTTTCTCATAATACACACTTTCTGTGAACTTCTAAAATTTCCCTTATATATCTAGTAGGGGAATTTCTGGAACACATGGTAATTCATGTTTAATTTTTTGAGAAACCACCATACTGTCTTTCCCATTGGCTAAACCATTTTACATTCCCATCAACAATGCACAGTGGATCACATCCGCATTGACTTTTCTCATTTTCAGGTTTTTAAAATTATCTTTATAGTGGACTAGTCGTTCATTGTGGTTTTTGGGTTGCATTTCCCCAGTGACTAACGATGTAGAGTTAGTCTCCTGTGTACCTTTGAAGAAATGTGTATTTAAGTCCTTTGCCGAATTTTAGGTTGGATTATCTTTTCATTATTGAGTTATAGGTATTCTTTATATATGGTAGTTATTGAGATTTTTTTTATCACATAACATGATTTGCAAATGGTTTCGCTCATTTGTAGGATGTCTTTTTACTTTTTTTTCTTTTAAAGATTTGCTTGTTTATTTGAAGGGAAGAGTTAGAGAGGCAGAGAGAGAGAGAGAGAGAGAGAGAGAGAGAGGCATCTTCCATCTACTGGTTTGCTTTCCAAATGGTTACAATGGCTGGAGCTGCGCCAGGAGCCAGGAGCTTCCTCCAGGTCTCCCAAGTGGGTGCAGGGGCCCAAGAACTTGGGCCATCCTGTACTGCTTTCCCAGGCCATAGCAGAGAGCTGGATTGGAGGTGGAGCAACCAGGTCTTGAACTGGTGCCCATATGGGATGCCAGCACTACAGGCGGTGGCTTTACCTGCTACGCCACAGTGCCGACCCCAATGTCTTTTTACTTAATGCATAAAAGTTTTAAATTTCGATAGGTAAAATTGGCCTATTTTTTCCTTTTACTGCTCTTACATATTTTTGCTGTCATATCTAAGAATCCATTGCCAAATTAAGTTCAAGATGATTGATCTTTATGTCTTCTTCTAAAAGAATTTTATAGTTTGGATCCTACATAAATGTTGTTGACCCATTTTAAGTTTCTGAATGGTGGGGCCAGGCCTGTGGTGGTAAAGCTGGCATCTACAGTGCCAGCATCCCATATGGGCACCGGTTCCAGTCCCAGCTGCTCCTCTTCCGATCCAGCTCTCTGCTAATTCACCTGGGAAAGCAGCAAAGGATGGCCCAAGTGCTTGGGTCCCTGCACCCACATGGGAGACCCAGAAGAAGCTTCTGGCTCCTGGCTTCAGATCAGCCCAGCTCTAGCCATTGTGACCATTTGGAGAGTGAAACAGCAGATGGAAGACTTTTCTGTCTGCCTCTCTCTCTCTCTCTCTAACTCTGCCTTTCAAATAAATAAATCTTTTTTTAAAAAAGTTTGTAAATGGATTGAGGTAAGGGCCCAATTTCATTATTTTGCATATGGATATCCAGTTGTTCCAGCATTATTTGTTGAAGAGGTGAATGGGTTTATTCCTGCTTTAATCTATATGACTGTCCTTATAAAAGTACAATAGAGTTTGGATTACTTTAGGTTTGGAATAGGTTTTAAAATTGGGAAGTATGAATCTTCCAACTCTACTCTTGTGTTTCACTATTATTTTGAAAAATTAGCACACTGTATTATTCCCTAATGGACTCCTGTGATGGGTGAGATTCACCCAACCCTTTCCAGAAAGCAAATTATTTTAGTTGAGGGAGTTATAGCTGAAGGACCTTGGAAAAGGGAGAACCCAGAGACCCAGGTTATGATTATAGCTTTGCCACCAATTCTCTAGATGTTCTTGGCAAACCACATCTTCCCTTTGGGTCTTGTTTTATTCTTCTTCAAAATGGAGGCAACTGGGCTTAGTCAACCCCTCTTGCTTGGACTGGAACCAACAGCTTTTCAGTAAGCTCACCCTGAAGAATGAGCGGGATCCCCAGGTTGGGGACACAGGCACCAGAGAGTTGTGTGAGACGGTTCCCCTGCCCCACACCCCACATCTACAGCTGTCCAGCTTCAGCCAGCTCCTCCTTGAGCCAGCAGTAAAGGAGTTCCAGGAAGAACTGAATTGTCAGAGGGACGAGAAGCCTGGACCAGGAAGAAATTTAGAGGTGTCTCCTCCTCTTCAGTGTCTCCTCTGGCTCTCATGAGTGTCAGTTGGTGTTTTCTTTCCGTTGACCAGTGAGTCTGAGCAAGCTTTCACGTGGTTTAGGAGGCACACACTTATTCACACAGAAATGGTGTGATGATGAGTACTGTGTGTGATACGAAGACAAGTCAGAGGCATGTCCCATCCTCTGGAGATCACTGATCATTTCACATTTGAGTACTAGCAGGGGCAATTTAAATCATTTTGAAAATCCCTACTTTTTTCATTTATTTCAGTATTGCTTCCAATTTTTTGAACTGCTAAGGCATATGTAAATGGCCTTAGTGCAGGTAAAAACAAACCTGGACAGAAAAGCTCAACCACTGGGGCCATCACTGTGGCACAGCAGATTAAGTGCATCCCATGTGAGCACTGGTTGAGGTCTCGGCTGCTGCACTTCCAATCTAGCTCTCTGCTAATGTGCCCAGGGAAAGAAGCGGAAGATGGCCCAAGTGCCACCCATGTGGGAGACTGGATGGAGTCCCAGGCTCCCGGCTTTGACCTGGCTCCAACCATTGCAGTCATCTGGGGAATGAAGCAGCGGATGGGTTCTCTCTCTTCTCTTGGTCTCGCCCTCTCTCACTGTAACTTTGCCTTTCAAATAAAGATAAGTAAATTTGAAGAAAGAAGGAAAGAGAGAGAGAAAAGGTCAGCTACTTACTCAGATGCATGTCTCCTGTAGGAAGTAACTCGGTAACGTACTTAAGTAACTTAGTAACATACTAAGTCTGTGTTACTCTGCTGAAATCAGGATGCAGTCTCATAGAACCATTTTCCTGCAGGGATATTGTCCAAAGTCTGCCCTGTGAGCCTGAAGGCCACCATCTCAATAGGCAGTCTCCATCTGTGTCTCGCTCACTTCTACCTGGGCTGCCCTGGATGTCAAGTAACATCATCACATTGGAGTGGGGGTAGACCAGCCAGCACCTGCTGCAGAGATGGTGACAGCTTTCGTCTGATGCTGGCCCAGGTGATGGAGTTCACATGGCGGGCGGGGGTTGACAGAGTGGGTATCAAGAGTGACTCCTATATTTATGGCCTGCAATGCTGTTTGGTTGGTCCTGTTGAGTAAGTTCGGGAGCACAGAGAACAGGGCACGACTCTGTTCAATGGCGCTCTGTAGAGCTGCGCAGCACTTGAGTCCTGGGATGACTCAGCCCGAGACAGGTTAAGCTCCAGATGTCTTTGCGGCACACCGATGTATCAGGAAGGAGGCAAGTGTGGCGCAGGGAGAGGGTAGGAGTGGTGGGAGAGGCGGGGTTTCTGGGTGAGACTGCAAAGCGTGCAAGCACCGAGTAGGAAGAGGAAGAAGTCCTGAGCCTGGAAGACAGGCAGTGCTGGAGGGATGAGCTCCTGCAAAGGGGGAAAGGGAGAGGTACCAAAGTAGCCTGGGGGAACCAGACTGAGACTGAGAGCAGCTGAGATTGGAGTGGGCTGTGGAGCGAGTGGGGGTGTGGAGAGAGAACGCACAGGCAACTCCCCTGGGAAGTTTGCCTTCCAGACCTGGGCTCCATCCAGGCCTTCCCCATCCAGGCTGCACAACTTGGGTAAATCTCTTGGCCTCGTTGGAGTCCAGTTACTGTCCAAGAATGGGCGCAGGGCCAGTGCTTCTGTCCAAGCGCACTGACCATCTTTTGCAAATTGAACTCAGCGTATATAACCTGGCACTTGGTGGAGAGGGTCACGGCGGCATCACTTCTCTCACCTGCTCCGTTATCTCTGAGTGATGCAGTGCACAGCTCTTCAGTCCAGGGAGTGGAAGCTCTAGACTCCCTCCAGGGTCAGGGCGAGGAAGGGTCGGGAGGTGGGAAGTGAAAGGCAGCACAGGGGCAGGGCTGGGGCTCATCCAGGATGCCAGAGAAGCGACAGGTGCTGGGGGAGAGGAGCCTGCTCTCATTCCCGAGTCGGGAGTCTGGAGAGGGGCTCCCTGCACCCTGAGCAGCCCAGAGCAAGGCCGAGAGGAAGGGCAGCGAGAACACGCACCTGAACTGGCAGCCAGCCTGGGGGAGACAGAGGCCCCCGGGAGCCCTGGGGAGAGAGAGCGGCGGGCGCCTTTAATGAGCACAGGTGTTGGAGTAGAAAATTTTCCATGAAAAGGAGGCTGTGAAAGGAGGCAGTGAACGTAACCACGTGGGCCCTGCTGGCAAGCGCCCCGATTTCTGTCAGGTTGCCGCGCGCGGCCTTCTACTCTGGTTGCAGGCTGTTCCGAGGACAAACAGCAAAGAGACTCCTTTTCTTCTCGTGTATGCAGTGAGGAAGGTGGAAGGGAAAGAGGTTCCCCCAAAGGTGGGCGGGGAGGCAGAGCCGGGGGTAGAGGCAGGGCTGGGGGTAGGGTTTTCCCTGCAGCTGCCCACCCCTACCCTGGCTCACCTGCAGGGAGATGCCAAGAAGGTGCAGGTCACTCGGCTTGTGGGGGTGGCGTCTGCCCAGCCTGCCACCCCCGTCCACCTGCCTCCCTGGAGCTGCTTCTCTCCTTGGTAGGGGCCGAGGTGATGGTGCCGAATGGTGTCTGCACCTCTCATGTCACTGGCCCAGGAGCCAGGGCCTGTCGCGGTGCCTCGTGTGTGGCACTGGCCAGTACATGACTGCTGAGAGCTAGAGCTAGATATATCCATGATAGGTGGATTGGTGGATGGGTGGATAGACGGATGAACAGAGGATGATGACGATAGAGAGACAGATGCATGACAGGAATGATAAGTAGATGATAGATGATTAATAGATGATAGAGAGATAGGATAAGTGGGTGGGTGGTAGATGGGTGAATGGGTAGGTATTTGGATGGATAGATAGATAAATGGCAGATAAACAAGCAAAACCTTGTGACAGGCATTTTAGTCCCAGTTTTCTGGTAGCTCAGGGAACTGAAGTGTGGGATGTAGAGAAAAGTCTCCTGAGAGACAAGAACCTGGGATCCACAAAGCTGTCAAGCGCAAAGCGGGAGGAGGTTACACTTGGACTCTGGAACATGGCAGCACAAGGTTCAAGCTTGCCACTTACTGGCTGTGCGTGTCTGGGCAAGTGACTTAAGCCCCATACCTCTGAGTCCCCCGCAGCATGACCAAATCAACGTACTGGTCCTCAGCTGTCAGCCATGACCTGGAGGGCAGTGGGCATCCACAAGGGGGATGATGGCAGGAGAGAGCCAGCTAGCCACGCAGGTGCTACCATGGTGGAGGCCTCGCCAACAGAGCAAGGGCCTGGGGACTGCTTGCCGAGGTCAGGTGAGCCGTGGCCCCCTCCACTCTGCCCGCGGCCTCCCAGAGGTCCCGGGCTGCCCCATTGATCGGCCTGTGAAAGGCCACTCGGCAACCACTGGGCAGGCTGGTTGCTGAGAGACGGCCCCAGAAGCCAGGGCTGGGATTAGCGAGTGGCCCTGTTTGCTCTCCTTGCTAGGAGGAGAGAGGACTTTGGTCTCCGCTTATCAAACTGCCCGGGTTTGAAAGCCCAGGAATGCAGCCTTGGGCAAATGTGCAGGTTCACAGGACACCCATTAATCAAACAGTCCTCTTCCCTCCACCCCTAATAACCTGACCCCACTCCACACACACACAGCACACTCTCACACACGCACTCTTACCTGGTCTCCTCCCAGGTACAGGTGGACGTGTTGGGGGAGAGCAGGGCGTTGGCCCCACAGGCAGGGTAGGGGGATGGAGCTGATGGGCCGGCCCACCTCTGCCCCACACCACGCGCTGCGCTGCTCCCTGCAAAACCGAACAGAAATAGCCTCTGCGGAGCTGCTGGTGCACACTCTGTCCACACGGCAAAGCCTGCTTTCAAGGTCTGTGGAATGCAAAGGAGCACCATTCGTTCTTTCTACACGGCAGATGGGACCAAGGCAAAAGTCAGGTGTCGCCCGCCGCACCGGCCTGAGCCCCAAGCTTCTCATCTGGCCCTCTACTGCAAAGGGAAAAGGGGTGAAGTGGGCGGCACTGGATTTCACAGGACAAAGGCAAACACTAAGAGGACATGTGGGTCCCTGGTAGTAGGCAGCAGACACCAACTACCAAGTTCAAAACCTGGCCATGTAGCCTCGAAACAGCCGATGCAGGCAAGACTGTCCGTCTCCGGAGACAGTGCAGGCTTCCCATGAGCCAGCCGTGGTGCTGGCTACCACACCACTAATGTCAACCGTGATGGCAGAAAGGACACAGGCTGGAAGGAAGAAGACAAAAACGCCCAAGCGGTCCCACTGCCCAGCCGTCATCTAAAATACTGTTTTGCAGGCTGGGCACTACATTTGAATTTCCCTACACTGAAAACAGGAGCTCAGTCACAGAGGGTGAGCTGGCCCCCAGGGGGCCCTGCCAAGCTCTGTTGGAGAGACATCCGTGTACACTCAGGAGCCGCGCATCCTCCGGGGAGCTCACCAGTCTCTCTGGGGCACCTGCTGCCATCTGCCCCCATGGCCACTACCTCCACCCAGGCTCTCCTGCCCCCTTCATTCTCAGCCCAAGCCCCAGGGTGGCCCCTGAAACTCCTTCTCTACCTCGCAGCCAAGTGACCTCATGAAAACTTAGGCCTAATCTTGCACTTCCCTGCTGAAAATTCTTGGGGACACTGCCATCCACCTGCCTACCATGGCCCTCAGGACAAGACAGTGACTGGATGCCCTGCACAGCCCACAACTGTCTGCCCCACACATTCAGAGTCAGCTGCAGGTCAGGGGCTCACCAGCTGCCGCAGCCTTTGCGCATGCTCTAACTGCAGCGCCGTAAGGCCCCCACCCCCAGCACAGTGACCCCTGCCTATCTCCTGCCCCTGGCTTCTGGCCTTTCCCCAGGCTCAGCACCCTGTCTGCTCCTCTGCTAGATCACCATCGACGGGTGGCCACGTGCGTGTTCCCGGCCCCCAGCACGGGGCCTGGTGCCCCATCAGTGTTTGCCAAATACATAGGAAGACTGCCTACTTGCAAATATGTGAAGGCAGCTTAGCCCCAACATGAGTAGCTCCAGAGGTCCAATCAGGGCCAGTGAGCAGAGGCAACAGAGAGGCAGGAAGCTGGTGGGGCTCACCAATGAAACAGGCTTGGGGTGGGCATCTACACTGGCTAAGCTGCTGTTAGCGATGTCTGCCTCCTACAGCGGAGTGCCTGGATCCTAGGACTGGCTCCAATTCCGACCCAGCTTCCTGCTAATGCTCACCCTGAGAGGCAGTGGTGATGGCTCAAGCACTTGGGTCCCTGCCCGCCACGTAGGAGGCCCAGATTGAATTCTAGTCCCTGGTTTCAGGCCAGCCCAGCCCTGGTCATTGCAGGCATTTGTGGATTGAACCACTGGATAGACTGTTTCTTTGCCTTTCAAATAATAAATAAAACTTATGAAAATAAAGTACAATAGGCTGTTCCTGGAGCTGTCTGACTGAATGAGACAGGATGAGCCGGTGACGGGGGTGGTAGCAGAAGGATCTCGTTGGCGTGATGTAACCTCCATGGGCCTTGGAGCTTCAGGACCCCATGGAGTAGCTTGGCTTCTGGGACCCCCTCCACATCTGCATACCAGTCACATCTCAATCAGGGCTCTGCCCCAGCTGAGAAGGGTCCTGGAGATGTCACGATTCTAGAGAGGTGTGCTTTGTGGCTACAGAAAGGCAATGAGGTTGGAGTTTGACCGCCAGCCCGCAGGGCCCCAGAGGGGAGCGGAACTCC